TGTTTGCTGTCGCGCTCCCCTGCCTCAGCCTTGTCCAGGTGGGATCTGGGGGAGCGTCAGTTGGAGCATGTCGGCAAGCTGCAGTAGCATACTGTCCTGTCGAGGGGAGGGAATCTACTCCCCCGGTTCAGAAGGGTCACGTTGTGCAGCATCAATGCTCCTCGTCCCGATTGGCCTAACTCCTCGATGAGTCCATTCTTCTGCACTTGGTCTAGAAAGGCAAAGCACGAAGGGGGCATCATCAAATTTCGTCATCAAGCTCGCGGGCAGCCCCACGGATTTGCAGTTTTCTATCACATCAGATTTAATTCAGTTGTATTCATCACATTGTCATGACTTTTTGACGCGAACAACCTCCAATTTCCTCGATAGATCTGACTCACTCCTAGAATCTCTTTGCCCCTCGTTCCGGGTGGAGGACTCCTCCTCAGAAAGGGTGAAATGGACGTCCTCTTGCTATTTTTTACCTCTAGAATAGCATGGATATGTAAATCTGCACTTGCAGAGGCGTCAATAAAAGGTGCCTGTACCAGTACTACGCTTGCACCAACTACCTGCAATCCTGGCAATCAGATCCGGTCCCGAGGAATCAGCGACACTATTGCTATCATCTCGCTAACGAGAAATACGACGATCAAGTGGAGACTCAAGGCCACTTTTTTAGTCTCCGGAGTTGTGTGAGGACAGCGCTCTCGGACTGTCGGTACCAGCCGGCGTCTAAAGTTGCTTGATTTTGAGAGACGCCAAGGATTTTAACGGGTACCTTTACTTCCCGGCCTGACCCGTCGCAAATTCAAAAGAGTGGCTCCAAAATTAGTGGAATTCAAAGCGTTTAGCCTCGGCCAGAGATTAAGAGCATATATATGCCTGCATTTGAGAGTGCTCGAGACTTCCAGGCTAATAGTTGAAGAGCCCAGTCTGCTTTGCAACGAGCGAGTAGAACACAAGATCAGGAAACACAACTACTTCAGCCGGCTAATGAAGTAGATACTAATCGCACCTCTCTCCACGCCTCATGTATGGCTTCATCAAGATCACTGTGTTCGTAATAAAATGCTGGCTATTTTATGTTTGCCGATGGGAGATTATTCTTAACACCTGTCAGTGGTATCCCCTACGAACCTCTAGCTCTCACTATAGAGCCTGCAGAGCCGAGATTGAGCAACCAAGTCCTCACTTCGACGATGATTCCCAATCGCTTTCGCAGTCTGTATCGTCTTCATCTCTCAACACATTCCCCTATCACCACTATCATGAAGCTAACCACAATCAGATCATATGGTAGGGTCGGAGCCCTACTCATCACCAAACCTTGATCACGGAGGAAAAGCCACCCGATGAGTTTCCGGAGCGTACCCAGCACCCGATACGGAGATAGTGGATTGGATCAAGTCGGCCTCGACTGTTACAAAGAAGGGAGATGTAGATGAATATGCGCACCTCATGTGGTCCCGGTGTCTAGGCCTCGCCTGGCTGGGGCTGCAGGTTTTCTGAGACTTTTTCCCGCGCACGCAGTTTCCATTGCTACCTTTTTTTTTTTTTTTTTTGGGGTAGAAGGTTCCGTGGAAAAGGTGGCTGAATTCCACGGGTAAATACTGAGCTGAATAGCTATTCATCAAGGGAAATATATCAATGATTTTTGAAGTAACAAAAGAGGATAAGAGCACTATACAAGGTGTTGTCTAGGCCAGAGAAGAGCCCAATGTGCTAGATAGTCACAGACTCAAGTTGCAAAATAAACTTCTCTCCCATGTTTGCCGATCCTCGCATCCTCGTGTTCAATAATATCCTCGCATAACCGTAACTCAGGCCAGCCCCGTGATTGGTCTCTGCCTACGATATAAACAACCCAATTCTATAGTTCAGAAGCGATCCGGTCTCTATCAAGATGCTTGCAAGACAAGCTCGATTTCTCTTCCTACATAGATCTGCAACGCGTGAATGGAAGGTATAACCCAAAATAATGGCATGGAACCCAAATCATCCTTCGCTCATCCATAATACTAAAGCGCACGTTCGGGTAAAACGGTGTGGAAAGCAGAACTTTCGAGGTCATTTGTGGAGATTGGCGGGGCCGCATACTTTTTCTGGTCTGTTAGGTGGAGACAACTTGCAAGGCCTGGGCGAAGCACGAAAGAAAAATAGCAGAGCTCCACTGCACATACCCAGCACACCATGCTGCCGATGTACGCAAGTGACTAAAAATCCGCTCCGTAGCTTCACTCAGGTCGTTGCTGAGAGCGAAGTCGCTAAATAAGTTCATGCCTCATGAGTCATTTTTTCTCAATAAACATCACGAATACCTACATTTTAACACTATTACAGGTCATGGCCTGACATCTGGTCGTGGAATCCTTGCGTGTGAAGATGTTTTAAGAATGCCAAGCAAACAGTATTAGAGTAGAGCTTCGTCAGAAACAGTTCTTTTCGTTGTTATAATGTTGTCCTCTCTCGGTCCAAGTGTGAACCTCAAGAATGCTAGAGGTTGCGTTTGGGAAGATCGCGCTATATCTGCAAGGTCGGCAAGAGGCAAAGGTATATAATCGTGATTCTAGCTATAACTAAGGATATGAGGCTAGGAATATTAGGTCAGGAGACAAGTTCAATGGAAGACGAAAGACAAGACGTGCTCCTCTACATCGGCTCTGCCCAATCCATACAAGCATCATAGTAAGTAGAGCTACTGAGGCCCCAAAGATTACGTCTACTACTACTACCACTACTCTGTTATTGCATTCGTAACCCATGGTAACTTTTGTAACCCAGTAACCATTCTAAGATGAGTAATTATTCGTAGACCGTGTAGGGAAAGAATACGAGGGTGAAACTCTATCCTCAGTCCCTGAAACTAGGCTATATAGGACATGCATGTCCTCTCTGCCGGCAGATCAAGGATACCTATCTAGCAGTATATTCCTCCTACATAGCTCCCCCCAAATAGCACCACCCCTCACAGTCCCACGTTTGTTCATACACTCGATAGAGCCCTTTGCCTCCCACTATCCCCCCTCTCCAGCCAACGAAACAGAGGCCACTTACGGATATATGAGAGCCGGGAAAGGTCGCAAAAACAACCGGGTGCGGGTGTGACGACTAGTAAGCCGATAGATTGTCTGTAGCCTGTGCTATCCAGTATAGGTATATTTATTCGGTCAGCGCTAAGTTACGCTCATACTGAAAGCCTGGAACTATCCATGCACGAAACATTGTTAGCAGCCAGCCCACTCCTGGACAATGGGAGCCCGACTGGAGGACAGCTACTAGCGTTCCGAATGTTGGCCCCATGTATGTAAATGGGGCATTGCATGTAGCAGTAGTTTTATTCCTTATTTGATGAATAAAATTACCTTTCGACATACAAACGCCCAAGCTTTCTATATCGAAATGTTATAGCGGGGCCCTTCGAATACCGACATCAGGAGTAGCTCCGAAGACGAAGCTATACTTCTGAAGCGTTTGAAGAGGCAGGCCAGCTAGGCGCCGCACACTTGTGGGTACCTCGAGAGATTCACCCTCTGCCTTTCTAGCCTCCCTCAACCCTTTCACCAAGGTCGGGCTGAGATGTGAGAAAAACTTTGAGAGGGCGTGTTTGCTGTTAAGCAGTTTACTCCGGCCTCATTGTGCTGTCTGGGGTACTGGGTAGTGCCGTTGACTCATCGACAATAGAAGTCCTCCTGGCTAACATGGCGAAGCCTTTGTCTTGGCGCCTATAAACGCTTAAAGTCGGAAACAGCTTGACAATTTCAGTCCTAGAATGCCCGCGTAAGTTTCCTCTCTCGCATTCGATGTCCCAGTTTCCTATCCTTCCTCAAGTCGTAAAATCTCATTTGAGCAACGGTCGCCCGTAAACCCAAGACCCAAACTTTGTATATTATGACTTATTTTCTTCCTTGCGCGTATACGTAACGTCGTAATTTTGTGGTGGGAGATGGCCGGTGATTGATGAGGCAAGCTCTGATTTGCAATTGAATCAATTCCTTTATCGGCCGTCCGGGCGAGGTAGTTGGTGGTAAGTTCAAGTTGGAGAACTCGCGTCAGGGTGACAAAACCGACACAGATGAGACATCGCCGATTTTAGATATGCTTTAATCTGCTTACGACTGCTATGCGGATGCGATCCTCCTCTGCTATTCTAGATACGTAGAGTATGCTGAGAAATAAACTCGGAGCTACTGGTATATGAAGAATTTGTTCTTGTCGGCAGAAACATTTCATCCAACAGCAAACGCTTAGAAATTTCTGAAATAATCTAGCCCCAATAGCCTCTTCCCATCTCACGCAACAATCTAAGGCGTCAGTAACTGTCAAGTGACTAGGGATGTTGTATACACATATGGCGTTGAACTGGAATACCCACGGAGGTTTGGCGTTATGGAAGCACTGATAACATTTTGATTACCACTCGCTTAAATCAAATTATATATGTAATCTTGTAGACAGGGCTTTGCTCTTTAGCTTTATCTTTTAAATCTCGAGTCCTTGCTTGCCATAATCAGCGTGTCATAATAATGACAAGCCAATAGTACATATAAATTTCCCAAGTCAAGATGTATTCTTGACTCGAGAGTCTGGGATAAGTTTGGTCCTTCAATCTAAATTATTGTTGCAGATGAACAATCTCTTGCGACAATCTGACTAAACAAGCCAAAGCTTTACCTAAAATACTCAAACTTTCATTAACGTCAGTCATCACGGGTTGTGAAAAGAATAATCATGGATCAATTTAGTGTTTATATACAAAGAGTGACAAATGAGTGAGAAACAACTTGGGTATCTTTCTTGCACTTTCCCTCGTTCCGTTACGCCTTTATGCCCAATTTCAAGCAGCCCTGCAACGCTCATCGTCATCATCAAACCGTACTCCGCGTATAAACCCGTATAGGCGTAATCTAGTTACACAAACTCTGTTTTACCCCAGAAAGAACTACTGTTTTGTCGGGTCTCGTGAAGCCATCCTTATCATCATCTCGACCCATCCTATCCTCGTAGCAATATCGAGGTCATGAAGATTCGTGTGTCAAGTTCTTGGCGACAATTTTTTCGTCCACCGCCTCATCATCAATATTTGAGATTGATAGGCACTTCTTGCTGGCCTTGACAATATTCCTCAGGCTAGAGCTTTCGCGGAACAATAGGTCAATCTCCTCAAGACTACGACCCATAGTTTCTGGAAACCAGAACCATACTGTTATAGGGATAGACAGTCCTATGATGGCAAAGACCGAAAAATACCATTGGCCAATACGATCAATGGCCACAGGAGTTGACATCACCACTACAAAATTCCATAGCCAATGGTTGGCTGTCGAGATTGCAGACATGCCGACGCGCAGTGAAACGGGCGCTACTTCAGCGCAGTAGAGAAAGTTGGCCCCCAGGAAACCAATGGGAACGAAAAAGTTAAACATGAAAATAGCTACTACGCTAGTGTAAGATGCAGCAGAGTTTGCCGAATTGTAACCCGTCGTGATCGCAAGGATCAACATGCATGTACCCATTCTGATCATCGGATTAGTTTCGTTCACGTGATCTTGGGTACTGTGAGAGTCTAGACTTACCCTAATCCGCTAAACATAAACAATGCGCGGCGCCCGAAGCGATCAATTGTGAAAAATGCCACAAATGAGCTCAAAAATTTCCAGGTTAGAGCGCCACCCGTGAGTAATCTAGCTGTTGTGCTGGGGAGTCCTAAATCTTGCTCAAAAATTACGGGGGCGTAGACTGAGATCAAATTGGCTCCGGACATCTGCTGGTAGAATTGCATGATGATACATAGACAAAACCGGTAGAAAAGCTTATCAGGACCCATGCTAAACATGTCCTTGAGACTTGCCTTCTCGATTCGGCTATTTTCAAGGGCAGATTGAATTTCTGCAACTTCTGCCAAGAGTTGGGGGTTATCTGTTGGAAGGTCCTTGAGCTGAGATAGGACTTCGATAGCTTCCACATGTCTACCAACTCTGATGAGCCAGCGAGGTGATTCAGGCATGATGAAAATGAATGACATGAGCATAATGGAAAAAGTGACAGGAATGCCGAGAGGTAATCGCCAGCTGAAGGATGAATGTGAACCCTTAATCTTGGATGAGCCTAGATTAATCCATGAAACAAGAGTATAGCCAAGCCTGAGAGTAGTTAGAAGTAGTCAGAGGGTTTAGATTTGCAATGAACTTACGTAGTAAATAAGCCATCGAGTACTATATGTTTACCACGATGGGCAGGTGGACTACATTCGGCCTGCCAGACAGGAACAGTTGAGCTGAGAATACCAATAGCCACTCCAATGACGGATCTCCCGATAACGAACTGAGATATAGCCGTCGAGCTGGCACACACAATCTCACCCACCAGTGTAAGTGTAGCAGCTATGAAGATGCACTTCCGTCGTCCCAGTAGATCTCCTAGATATAGACAGCCTAGACACCCAACCAGGGCACCAAGCACAAAGGTTGAGACCACGAGTCCTTGAAGGGAGGCATTTCCACTCTTTTTGGCGCCAGTTGTGTGCGTCGTATCAATCTCCGGGAAGGTATGAGTCCAGGCAGGAAGCTTTTTTCGGTCAGGTTTGCATAAAAGGTGCGTGGGCGTCGGCTGGAGGGAGGGGACAACGTACGGAGAGCAAGCCACCTATTCCTGCTTGATTGTAGCCAAAGAGGACAAAACTGGGGGCGACAATCAAGGCTATCTGGGCTACTGAAAGAGAGTGACCGCGTAGATAAGAGAGCTTCATGACGAGAAGAAGGGTGGAGAATGAGCAGCCGAGAGATTGAGGCGACGACAAAGAGGCTGAACCAAGCACTGGGCCGCTGGAGGGTTGGATAGGTCTATATATACACGGATGTGTATTCAAAGATATCTCAGCGGTCGATATATGCAGAACACCATGCGCGTATGGGAGTCTGCAGCGCAAGTGTCGATGGACAGACCTGCGTACCTCTCTAGAGCCGGCTGGCTAGGAAGTCTTTCGTCTACCCCGAATCCATGTGACCTTCTGAGACCAGGCGGACAGAAGAGTTCGGATGCGGATCGCAAAAGAAGAAGCAACTGTCATTCCTCCGATCAGAGTAGCCACCGCCGCAGCCCCAGCCCCAGCAGCAGAAGCAGAAGCTGCAATGTGTGACCCCCATTTCCAGCACAACGTTCCTTCCGGGGAGGGATAGAGGGTGGGGCAAAGGGTTGAGGACAGGGATTGTAGCCGAATGCTAGCGTGGAGACTGGGCTGGTTTAGACTGGGTTAGACGAGACTGGGGATCGGACAGGGCGCGGACTTGAAACAGACAGGGGAAGCTGATATGCTCCGATGCTCCTAGGCAGATAAGAGAGCAGTCACTTGCCCCTTTGTAGGCATCATGTCGTTGTCGATAAGAAGCAACATCTTACTGCCCACGGTCGCGCGAAGAAGTGGTGTATCTTGGTAGCTGAGCAAGTCTCCACGACGGCTGGATCGTCAGTATGGATAAGGTGCAAATGTCCTGGCTAGTTATCAGATTTCGTCATTGGAGGCCGTAGGGCTACCAAGGGAACGTGTGATGATGGCTTTGTGCACAAGCGACAATGAGCCTTCAGTCTGCGTCGAGAGGTCGGACCATTTCCATGAACGAGTAGGAGTTTTTGTCACTTCCAAAGTCGAGAGACTGTCTCGTATGTCTGGCTCACCCAAGATTTCCCCTCGCTACCTCTTACCACGCCTGGCAGAATATGGATCTAGTGATTTGACCTCTTCGCAAGTCACCACGAAGGATTGTCTCGCCTCGCTGGCTCCGAGTGGACGAACGTGAGAATTGTCTGTTGACTGAACACAGCGAGCACGGCTCGTTTGAAGTTCCACCATGTCAGGCCGTGAGACGAATGAGGCTGCTTCACGACACAACCAAAGCATCTGAGAGGCCAAGTAGAGCAGAATATTGGTCATGCCTCGAGCCATTGCTAGACTCGCCACCCAGTTAAGCCAGGAATCAGTATGAGACTTGTAAAGAAACTCCATCAGCTCCGTTTCAATGAAACTTCGCCGTGCTTTTACTATATTTTCTCTTATCTTGTCTGTCTGCCAAAATGAATCAGGTGGCATGACAGCCCTTATCTAGGTTGAGCGAAGCCCCATAAAACATCCCTGTCGCTAGACGAGATCTAGACCCACCAAGAGGTCAAGCTCAGGGCAGGCGGCGGAGCGAGCATGGTAGCAAACAGCCAGAAATAGCCCATCCACACTGGACTTTTAGCTTCAGGAAACCTCAACGTCACAGTTGCCGAGCCTAGACTCTTTCTCTCTAGTCGTCTTCTGGCCAATCAAACACCCCCACGGCTCTGGTCTAATCTCAACGTGGGCTAACTAGTACTAGTGCCTACCTGCCAGTCACCCCTGACAGAGGAGGCTGATTAGTCGATAGCTCAGATCTGCTGGTTCATCTGCATGCCCAGTTACGTGAGGACAGCGCGGGCCAGCCAAATTCCTCGTCGTTGATACAGTTTGCTCATCTAGTCAGCCGCTTTGTGTGTTTATTCGCCACAGTATCTCGATTCCACGACAGAAGCGGCTACAGTCAATGACTTGGGCATAACACATTCCGCTCGATTACCTGAATCTTCTCCCCACTCATCCGTCGCACAGCACGGGAAACCGTAGGTGCCGGGGATCTCGGAGTAGGTCAGCGGCCACCGGAAGGTTAGATTGATCCAACGATCACGTGATGAAATGGATGCTAGGGCACATCCATAACTGCATGATAATTGGGGCTATGTTTCTTGCCACAGAATCGGACATGCCGGAAAATGGCGCCTTACTCCTCCACAGTCTCCCACATATCCTCTCACAGCAGTTTGCATTCGATCGGAAAATTAGGTATTACCAATATCAACATCTGACCCTGCATTCCAAGCAGAGATTCATTTGCACGCGAAGCCTACGTGTATGATATTAGATGGTGGTACGACTAACTCCGGGCCAATGTTTCGGCAACAAGGGCTTTGCCGAAGTTCACGGTCATGAGACGGCTGGTTTCCAGTTTTCCGAGCCGGCGTACCTGACTTCCTCTGCTTCATAATGAGCACGAGGAAGTTGACGATACATTGCAAAAAATAAGCCCAGTCACCCGCCATCTCCTTTGACCTACTCAATAGATCGACCAGTGCGCTCTACCCTCGGTTTCAAGGCGCATCTAAGCTCCCTCGCTTCCACAGCGCCAATGGAGAAACACTCACAGCGGCGAATCTAGCACAACGCTTCCACAGAAAATGCTCCACATAAACCAAGCCACTTGGGATCAGCACCTCTAGTCTTATAGACATCAATACAAAAGTCATGGTTTGTCAATGGGAGACATCAGGCTCTCAATCTAGCCAGCCACCCGGTCAGTTGCAGGCACAAATGGGGAATTTGACGCACAATGGCATCAATCGACTCAATTCTCCCTCCTGAATCTAGGCACATGTCCAGGAGATTAGGACATGTAAATTTCAATTTTCACTCATAGAAGATGAACAGCTGATAGTGAATCATCTTCAACCTCTACGTATGCGAGACGAATCTGATCAAGAATGCTAGAATCTCGAGAAAGTTATCATGAGACGACCATAATGCGAATTCCCTGAGGAGCATAGGGATCATAGACCCGGCGACATGCAGAAATTTTAGTAAGAGCCTATCGGGAGACTTGGAAGGACAAAGGAGATATCGGAGCTAGGGCGTTTCGAACGCACACATATGCAGCACACGATGCGCCGCAGTAGAGATGGGCCGAGGAGGGACGTACGAGAGGATTCTTGACGAAGCTTCTGGTTCGTATTCGATTAGCTCGTCTACTCCTATTCAGTACGAGTCAGGGCCAGCGTCTACAGCACAGCAATTGCCAGAGGAGCCTGGTCTCCCGCTCTAGCTGCTCAAGTAGTGGGCCCAACGGAACGGCAAACCCTGACACAGAGCTTAGACTTCAGTTTTCCGTGGTATGCAGTCGTTGAATCATGCCAAGAGATCTTTCGTAACCGGGATGCACTCAATCAACCCCTGCCGTCAATGGGACGTGCGCTTCTGGCTACAAACTAGACGCGAAATCCGGCTGCGTGTAAAACAACGACTCTTAGCCGTCTCAGTCTGCTTCGGGGGAAAGCGGCTTGACGGTACAGTATTTTAGGCATTTCGTGCTGGCTTCAGTTACCATCTATCTTCCTACCAACGTATTAAACGAGTGATTCCCCTCTCATGACTGGTCGAAAGTAGTTGTGCCTCAGGTCATATCCTCTTCCATGTCTCCTACGGAACTCCCATTTCATCCCAACACCCCTTACCAGCTCTCATTTGATTACAAACGTGGGGCATCCTGCGGGCCTCACACATTGCAGCACTCTGATCAATAAACTAGAGGCTATTTGCAGGGGCCATGTTAGCCGCATGAAATGCCATGAGTTACTAGGTGCGGGGAAGGCTGCGGTTGGTGTCGGTCCATTTCCGTTGCCAAGAGCTGACCTCCATAGTGTCCTGCCCCAGACACTCACCTGACTTTTTGGCAACGCGCTGCGACCCAAGACCTACTAGCGGTCTCCTCTAAACATCCACATCTTTCTTGCATTCCTTTTTGTCATGGGTTGCAATCTCTTCTGCCGCCCAGCTGTGGCACATGAGAAATCTGGGGATGTTGATCTTTGTGACTAAGTTGAGAAAGATCTGGATAGGTAGGCAAGATGATGACATGGATGGATATAATGGCGATAAGGGTAAATCTTCGATATTGGGCGACGAGTTTCTTCGGATTAGAGAACATAGTGCGCGCCAAGAATTCGCTTACCAGTGTAGGCGACACTCTAAATACTTTCTTGGCTGCATGGTGCAGTGGTACATTGTCCTAGCAGGCCTCTCAACTAGAGTTTGGGTAACTCGGACACCCATCCCACCTGAGACGGAAGATTACAGGTTTGATTCTAACGACGCTTAACGACGTTTCTCGCTGTGCTTGTATGCCAAAGCTATTCGGCTGGTTCATGGTGGCCTATTCGAGCCTTTGATTATCTATCACATTAGACACTTACACAAGCCACTCCTCGTACAATTGTGGGTTCTTGTTGTTCAGACGAAAATTAATCAATCTTACGTGGGTGTCTCGTGACTCTAGCTATTCCACAGCAAAGTGTGAATAGAGCTTGAGGCTAAGAATACGAGATTGTTCTACATTGCAGAATCACCAGAGTACTTCAAGACTTTCCCGCACAATGTGAACGGCGCGTATGTTAGCTGTAGGGCTATGTACGACGTCTCGAAGTCTGGATTTTGGTGATGTGTGGGTCAGAAGAATTAGTAAGTCGTGAAGGTATAGTCTAGATAGAATCTATGGAGATAAAGATGTGAGATAAAATAGATATCTATATCTACGAAAGAATAGCACGTAGGGGAGGGCAAGACTGAACACCTGTATGCGGTGTCCTCTACGAAACTGGGAGTGAAATATTCTCTCAGTGCCAAGCTTAGTCAAATTTCGCAATACCAATGAAGTTGGCCCACGAGGCAATGACTTAAAATACACCACCACGTCAATTTCTCACTCCCAACGAGTTTGAATCCTATCCAAGCCTCATCAAGTCTACAAGTACGACCTAGTACATCATCATTCCAATGACCACATCTCTTGTCGACTTTTTCTGGCCTCAGCTGGTCGCCAGATACACGCCCACGCCGATATTTACACCCGACGGAGGAAGCAAAGCGTGGCGCACAAATCTGGAAGACAGTTCTTTGGGATGGGC